TGCCGTCCACGTCAGCTATCCCTTCGGGCTCACTATCAAATATGTTGAGATTTGGGATCCTTTCGGCCCAACCATCACTGATAAAGACATCTCTGCCTTGGTGCTGTCGCTCGAGACAAGGAGCGGAGGTGCTGCAGTGAACAACAAGCGCAGCGAGCAGGGATGGGACCCCCTTGAGGTTTTCGAGGTTGCTGTTCTCGATGCCAGCGAAGAAGACAGCATCGATGAAACCTTCCAGAGCAAGCTGAGCAGCACTGAGATTCGTCGTAAACGAAGCGAACGTGTTCAGTCCAGAGCGAAAGCGTGACCCGATAGACGTGGCCGGGCGGGTTGATGGCGAGACACGTCTTTGAGTGTTTGCCGTGCTGGAACAGGCCCAGGCGATTTGTGAGTAGAGTTTTCGTCGGCACGAGAGGTCGACAAGTCGACGAGGCAGGAGGTCATCTAGTGTCATTTTCTGTGCGACGATCTACGACAGCTGCGTGCGCCATAGCTACACGACCGCGCAGGTCCGCATGACGTTACCAGGGCGAGTATAGGCTTGTGAAGCAACACGTCGATCTGACCGGCAGTTCCACGCATGCATCGTCATCGGCGCATGTACGAGCGGGATTGCGGCCATGTCCTCTCCGTCCCGAATTTGTGCGATGACCGAATTCGGGTCGCTTGCGTCTACACAGATGCTTGTATACTATTTACATATTGCACGCAGTACTTCGTGTGCTGTAATGGAACTTGCACGCTATCATCCCCTGACGAGCAGGACAGATGACGCACTGCAACAGCGTACGCACATTGCGAGACATACAGACACCCGTTTCAGCCCACTATGAGGCTCCTAAAGCTCCGTGTCGTCATGAGATGCCCATCGCTTCAATGGCGTTTGCGCCATCCCAAGTACACGGCAGTGGAATCGGCCGGATGACGCATCTGAAGCGCTTGTGACGCCAATCAGCCGACCTCCAGATGCATCCTTCGTTGGCAACGCATCGAGACCATCCATGGATGGAAATTCGTGTAGTGGGCTGTGGGGAGCAGGCCTTTGGGCCTCGAATCAGCGCAGGCGTAACAGCCAGCCCTAGCGAATTTGTGCAGTAGTCCACAGCGGCCATTCGACTCTTCTTCGCGGGAGGAGCCATGCATGTTTACCGTCCTGCTTATGTAAATGCAGACGCTAGTGATCATGTGAGACGTTATGCCCGTTGCAGTTTAATGCATCGCGGTTTGGGCGAGGGCGTACCGGGGTGCACGCTGCAAGTTGCAGGCGGCGTGTCCAGTCCCAGGTCGTCTTCGCAACTCTACGCTTAGCTGACTGCTGGCACAGAGGTCATGCATTTCTTTCTCCGACCACGCCCCTCTGGCTGTCCTTCGCTTGCTATCCCATAGATCGGTGCCGGCTGTCGGATAACACCACGTTGTCAGTTGACTCGACTGTCCCGCTGTCGCTACGCTCACTACCACCTGCCATTCCCTCCTCCCGATCCGGCCCGAACGCTGCTGCCCTGCATTGAGAGTATATCCGCTGTGCGGTGCGCTCCTAAATCGCGCTGGGAAGCTTCCTGAGCAGAGCTTCTTCGGAGCGGTCGTCATGAATGTGACCACGTAAAATGGGTATCCTCGATCTCGCCGACGAGCTTCTTCGCATCATCCTCGAATATGTTGCGAGCGAACCAGAAAAACCAATAAGTCTGGAGCGCCGCGCATACCTGTCGCAGGAATCTTTCAAGCTGCCCCTCCCACCTGAGCCCGACGATGCCGAGACGATTGCGAGCTTTAGGTAAGTGGTATAGCTTTACGGAATGCATGTGAGACACACACTGACTTCGTATCCTCACCTTTGTAGATTGACTTGCAGAAGATTCAGCAATTTGGTGAGTACGGCTGTACGAAGTGCACGTGAGACATGTACTGAGCCGCTGCAGGGTGTCATCCATCAGTTCTCGCGCGTTACGACACGCTTCTCGCGAAAGGGACTCGAAAGATTAGAGAGAATAGCTGGCCAGCCTCACATTGCCGGCCGTGTGAAGAAGTTCAGTTACATGGTGCCATTTTTCTACGATCAAGGACGAGAGCGCATACAGGAGCTCCTCCACACACGTCCCGAGAGTTTCAGCTTCCTCGATATCGAAAAATTCCAGAAAAAGGTGAATGAGCAGACCAGCCTTCTGAACAGCAGGAAAGATGCACATATCCTGCATTTCGCGCTCCAGCGATTCACTTCACTCCAGCATATCCAGATCCTACGCCTGCAGGACCAGGAAGATGCCGTGTTAATCACGTACATGCGGGGTCACAACGAGTTGAACGGTCTAGTACCGACATGGCCACCGGCATGCTTGCATAGCGCGAAAACAATCGGTCAAGCAAGTAATATCCGTGTACGGATTGATAGGAGACATTTACTGACTTCGACCTCGGTCTTCAGGCCCTCCTTGAGTCCGAATCGCCATGTTCGCGATTCTCATCACCCATGCTAAGCCCGCAGAGCGTACTAGGTGCGGCTAGCAATCCGCCATCAACCCTGGGAATCCTTGCCGAACGCCTGACCTGTCTGGAGCTACATTTCGATGACAGCACGGACCTAGACGTTCGGATGCGACATCTCACCTCCCTGTCCAAGGCGTTGTTTACTGCGGCTAAGAATATTGAAGCCGTGCATATTGGCTTTCCATCATATCGACCGCTCACATTGCGGCTAGAAGAGCTCTTCCACAACGTCAAGTGGGAAAAGCTGCAGGGTACGTTTTGCGTCTCTGCATCATGAGACATACACTAACCTGATGTCTCCGTCTTTGCAGCTTTTGGAATTCAAGCCTGGCGTCTCAACGCAGATGAAATTCTGGGCATTGCCCGACGACATAGAGATACTCTGCGTGGTCTGCGTCTCCGTGATGTACTTTTGAAAGAGGGCAGTATGTGGAAAGATGTGCTCCCCTGTCTACGGGATGAACTCTCACGGCTTGACTGGATTTCCCTCAGGCGCATTGGATATGAGAAGCAAGTAGTATCCGTGTACGAACGATTGTGAGACATTTACTGACTTTGTACATCGATCTTTAGGCACTTCGACGAGCAGTTTGTTATGGGAGCCGAAGTACCAGAAGACGATCCTCTTGGAAGCGACAGTAGCGACGAAAGCGATTACGATTACGAACACGAACACGAAGATCCATCTAGCGGGAATGACGCTGATGGCAGTTCAATAGCTGACACAGAATCTGACGCAGAGACCGACGAGCCTGAACAGGGTGGTAAGTTCTGGCTGTACGAAGTGCATGTGGGACATATACTGACCTCTCTAGGCACCCTTTCCTTCCCGCCTATGCCCGATACCCCAGCCTCGATTACATGGTGCAACTGCAACGGACACATGGATGGCGTCGACGTCTTAGAAGACAATGGAATCATGGTCACCAATCAGCAGCGCAAGTTCTGGGAAAAGTGGGTCGTAAGGAAGATCTGCACCGAGCAGCATGGCCACAAATGAGCGGCCGAAGAAATCACCAGAAAAGGAAGCGAAGCTATGCGTAATAAAGCCGCAACAACATCTGTTGGGTTGCGTTGCGTGAGGCGGGCGTAAGAAGAAAAGCAATTATCCATCGAACCGTGTTGCAGCCCTGGAATCATTATATGCAGGCGCGATCACGTTTTGGATCCCGTATGCGGTCTACGGACCGCATATGCATGTGGAGCAGCAGCCACAGCACCATTGACGGGCGCTTATGCGACAACCCAACAACCCGTCACCTGGTCACTTCCACCCCATCTTCGTCAGTCGTGCGAACGCAGACTGCGCCGTATCGTTGCAGGTTTTTCTGGACCGGACTAGTCGATTTCACGCATTCGCTTCTTTGGAATGGTCGGACGAATCATGCGGCAACAGGACCAGGAACTCCAATCTTTTCGGCTATCTGTCTTGAATCCGTACTTTGACTGTCAAAGCATAGCGCCGGCGCAGCGAACGACACTTTCGCATACCACTTGTTCGAGAGGGATGGTTCACGTCCAAAGTCTTCTGTTGCACCAAAAGTTGTGCGCTTTGCATTCTGCTTTTCTATCCTTTTTTTATCAGCTCTTCGACGCCAGTGATGAATGTAACGTAGCGTGGGAAGGTATCTGCTTTTCAATTGATTGAATCATTATAGGTATCTTCACTTTCTGCTTCTTGTCTATCACCTGCTGTCGCGGCGATGCCATCGAATAGCAAAAGTGGGGCACAGTCAGAAGATACATACGCTCACTGGTCCAGCTTCCACTTGCGGATCTTTGCTGCAAAGCAATGGCCCGTTGTTCTATTCGTTCTCACCTATACCGGTCCTCCAAACGTGCTCGTCGAGTCACAACACGGCGAAACGAGCGGTGAGATTCAGCTCTCGATGGCGTTATCCCACTACATGGCATGCGTTGATCCCCACCCGTCTTTCTCTTCTACATTCTTGAACAGAGCACACTCACAGAGGGTTGATTCTCGCATTTTATCTCTAACGCTGCACTGACAAGTCAAGATATGGTGAAGGACATACCGGCAAGCCTCACTGCTAATGCCGTGGCAGAACAAGCAAATTTCACTCAGCTATTCCATCGACCTGAGCTCTATCCACCTACTCCACGATACTGAATCGGCTCTATCAACACTCAGGAACAATTTCTTTCGTATGCATGGCTTTTTGCTTGACACAAGTGGGCGCGCTGGCTCACTGTCCTGGAGAGTGCCGCACGGAGCCGCCTCTTTCACCTCACGACGCGAAACCGCGCTCATTACACGTCGGACGCGCAGCGACAAGCTTCTATGGCGCGTAGACGCGACTTGAGTCCGACGCGCCTCGAGTTGGATGCCTGGCGGGTTGAAAACTCTTCAAACCGCATAACATCCTCTTTCTTTTAGCCTCACCCGGATACAACCTTCGCTGTTTCATCTGCTATTTATTGCATCCGAAACAGCAAATACATACTACATCGCAATGACGAGACACGTTTGGAGAGCAGTAGATGCCGGCGTGATGCTGTGGGAACCGGCGGTGGCAGCGACACCAGCTCCGCACCAGTCGCAGGTGCCGCAGCAATCGCATGAAGTAACCGAGGCCGACATTCAAGGTAAGTAGTTACCAGGCATCTTTCCATTTCTCAGTTGTGAAGCAGGCACTGACAACTTCACAGCGTCCCTAACAAGCAACTACGATGAGAGCGAACAAGACTCGGTGCTTCCTTCGATCGAGGGTGTTTTCGAGCCACCTGAATATATCAAGAGCGAGCCTGGCAAAGACATCAGTGCAGCTGTGTCGTCAACGGTCGGTACCTCCGCTTCGGGCATATCCAAGCAGCGTTGTTCTTCGTACGATTCTCAGGCTACACTTCCAGTGTCGACGCCCTGCCCATCGGACGAAGAAAGAGATTTGCCTGTTGTACTTCGCAGTCCTGCTAGGGCGAGCTATCAATTCGACGCCGTTGATACTGCACCGACGCCATCAGTACGACGCACTCTCGACTTCGGCATGCCAGCCCTTCGTCACACAAATGACACCGCACCACAAGCGTCCGAGCCCGGCGACTTTACGTCACTTGCAGCTCTTCGTAGGCTAGAGCGTGACCCGCCCCATCATTGGCACGAAGATGAACGCGAGCTCCTAACAATACTCTACCGATGGTACGAAGACACAAACGCGGCAACCATCCCGAAGGTCTTCAATGCCATCACCGGCCTAAACCTCAGGCTCAACGTCATACGTTACCAGTTCGAGAGCCATCTCATTCTGTATGGCTGTCGTGCGTACCCCGAGTTCGATCGAGCAATGAAAGTCCCCTTCCACGACCCCGAACACAAGTACGACGAGATCCACGCGATCATCGAAGATACCGCCTCCGAGTCGGGCATTGACTTGTCAAGACGCACACACGAGGTGAGTTACATACCTGGATTGGCGAGAACTGCGAAGTCTCCCAAGACGAGAAAGCATTACAAATCCCTAGTTAGACGTGCGCTAAAGAGGGAAAAGGAGAAAGCCCGCGCCCTTCGCAGGCCGGCTCCGGAAGATCTACCACTGCAGGCTCTACAGCTCGGCGGAATGACATTGGCTGAGCAAGACAATGAAGAAACATGGTCAGACGTTGATGGCTATCACACACCACCCATCACACCTACGCAGCCGACACTACGGACTCCACCCGGCAGGAACACGATTGGATTTCGCGTTTGGGATGCCAACAGCCGGACGATTTTCGACGACGAGACGGGCTTCGTAAGTCAAGCCTTCTCGATTTGGAGGGGCGAGTTTCCGCCGCCTTTCTCCCCAGACGGGCAAGGTCAACAGGCTCTCATGCTCTTGACGAATCTCCATTTGTCAATGAGTGGCGGTGCATCGGCTTTTGTCTCAGTGTCGACGAGTCTCTTGCAAGCTCTTGTCAAAGCTTCTACGATGTTTGAGCCCAGGATCGCCGTCAGTACGTTGAAGTCCCACACCATGTACCACGTTAGTCCCATGCTAATCATGGTGGTTTTCTGTAGTTGCGCTCGACCATCCACTGCTTACAGCACCACACAAAACTCTCCCAGCTGCTGACGTGATGCGGATGTTGAAAGGGGAAGGCCAAGCATGGTGGGCAAGATACAAGGGCCATGCAGGTGAGCTTCCGAAAAGTCCTATATGCTGCTTCTATACTAATAAATACCAGAGCGCATGGTTTGGGCTTCCGTCCCAGCTGCAGCCGTGCTCTCACACTTCCCGCTTTCCGATCTCACTGTCTTATCACGCCACAACCAAGCTTGCGATGATATCCTCAACTTGCGGGATATACAATCCGGTCGAAAGACACAATACGTCTCCTCGCTCTTGCGCGACAGGAACACAATCATCAACATCCGCACGGCACGAGCAATGGCCGTGGTCTGCCGAGGTTTCAAAATGCACCGTGTCGGCGTCAGCCTTACGCATATACAAGGGCTGGTCTCGTCGTTGGTGGATTCATTTCAGCTGAAGCAAGGGACAAGTGATACACCCCGCATGTCCATGATGATGGCCAAAGCATTCGCCGTTTCGCTCGTATCGCAGGCTCATCGCACTCACGATGTTGAAGCGGCTTTCCAGGAAGGCGTTCAGCAAGGCACTGTTAGTAATATCCGTGTACAGACTGTTGTGAGACATTTACTGACTTCGTACATCGATGTTCAGGCTACCATCGAGTTCTATACGCGTCGTCGACCTGCGGCTCCGCGACGACGGAGTAGCTGAGAACATCTCAGCAACCTTCTCACGCCATCAAGACTACCAGGGAACAGTTTGTCTCAAATAATATAGTCCTTTGGCGATTACAAGAGTATGGGCAATTATGAGGAATAGTTCTCAGCATGATTTATTGAGAACATTTGGCGAAGCGCTAATGTCGTGTGACATGCGAGCTTTGTTAAAGATGTTATAGATTGTGTATGGATTTATTGGAGTGTAGAATAGTTGGTAGCATACTACATAAGGCAGAGACATGCGAACTTAACTATACCTTTCGAAAAGTTAAGCGTACAATAGTGCAGCTCATCGTTCAGACGCTTACTCGCTATCAAGCCTCCTTTCCCTCGCCTCAGACCCAGAACCTCCAGAAGCCTCATCACCCCCTTCGCTCTCAACCCCATTCGTTCCCGCCCCATTCGTCTGCCTCGCCTGCGCCGCACGATCCCTCGCCGCCACATGCCTCATCATCTCCTCCTCCATAGTCCCCCTCTGTCTACGAATCTCCCGCCACATCTCCTCCACTTCCGCGATCTCCGCGTCCATACTATCTTCACTACCCCCTTCACTGCTTCCCGTGCTTTCCTCTTCCACACTTCCCCTCTCCACTAGCAAATTCTCCCTAGCGGCTCTCCTCATGTCCCTCGCATCGCGACGCCGCCTAAGCGTTGCAGTAGGGGTTTCGTAAGCAGCATTACGGAAGAGCTCCTCGCTCTCTGATAGCTCACCGTTCGTAGGCGGGTTGGAAGTGGGAACAGTGTCGCCGTTTGTACTCCCAACGACGGAGTTGACGAGCGTAGTTCCGCTTAAGGATGCGCTTCGAGAAGAGCGTGTTGAAGACTCTGACGACGTCCTCGCAACATCTCTACCGTAGTCCGCATGTGCGCGTTGAAGGTGATAGATTTCTTCATCTGCTGTGCCTTCGCCTCGCAGGCGTAGAACGAGACCGCCGGGAGTTCGGGTCACAGATCCCCAGCTTCCGATTGCTTCATTGATTTCAGGGGTGGATAGGCGTGGGCGCGGGCGGATGTCTTCTGGGCCGGCGGTAAGCCGCTCTGCAGCCTCATCGTGCGTAGTGGTGTTATTGGCGTCCCGCATTACAATTCCGCCATTGATATGAAAGGTATCCACACCACTACCGTCAGCTCTTATCTCTCGCAGTCTTCTTTCAAAGACTTCTTCATGACCGCTGAACGTATCTTCGTCGGCATCTACGCTCAGATCCTCCACTCCATCGCGGTTTACGCCACCATTTACAAACGCTGAACTGGGTCTGATCATAACATTCCGTTCTCGATTAGCAAGGCCTAGACCGAGAGCTACGACGTATCTAGCTGCGATTTCATCGATGACGGGTCTGCTGAGCCCGGGAAGTACTCTCTGAAGTGTCTGGCGAAGAGGACTGACAAGATCTGCTGTTCGTGGGCTTATGTAGAACTCTCCTGTGGGTCCAGGTATGAAGTCAGTGAATGTGAAGGTAGGGAGAGGAGTAAGGCTTTCGCGATGGCCGTTGGTGAGGGGAGTGTGTGGGACATGTCCGTCCGTGGAAGGGGAGGGGGTGTGGTTATTGGCTGGGTCATTTTGCGTTGGCCTACTCTCTATTCTGATGGTCGAATCTACAGTCCTAAACGTAGTTGTATTTCCAGTAATAGTTGAAGTGGTGATCGAGTGAGTCAACCTCAAATGGATTTCCCCGGGTGGAACTTCTTGGACATCCCAGTTTGTCAAGGCAGCACGATTTGTATCAGCGTCAGCCAGTGATCTGGTATATCCCTCAACGATAGTAGTGATGTCGCGCGGTGTGATGCGTGGCCTGGTGTTCTCTAGGATCAGCGTAAGTATGTTTGCACGTCGCGTTTCTTCCGTCTCGTTTTGGATCGCTATCCTCGTGAGACGTTGACGTGGAGGATGTGTTTGAGGGGAAGGGGGGATAAATCCAGGTGATGGATTGTGGGTGACTGTTGGCTGACGGCTGAAGCTGAAAGTTGCTTGGTGCCGAGGAAGTGAGGGCGTTTGGGGGTATTCATGGACGATGACTGGACGAGAAGGTTGATGGAACCCATTTGTTAAAGGAGTGTAGCTACCCCTGGTGATTGCGGGAGCATGAGTGTCTTCATGGCCTAGCATTCTTGCGCGAGTCTCTTCACGTCCATGTTGGCGGAAGGTTTGTGTGATAGTACTAGTTGCATCGTTCACGGGTGCGGAGGTTCTTTCAGGGCTGGGCGGCAACTCTGTGGCAGCTGCTTCCTCTAGTGCTTCGTCATCGCTTAGTATGGTATCGGCTCCGCCTCGAAGCCTTGCCCCAGGAGGTTGGAACTCAGGAACACCTTCAGTAAGATGCCGGCCGGAGCCGCAGAGCCTGTTCATCATCGTCCTCTGTATCATACGGCAGGCCTGTTCTCGGGCTCGCTGCTCTTCCAGAAACTCGTCGACATCAAACTGTCTTTGAGCAGGTCTTTCTCCCGGATTGCGCTTTTCCACTTCTCCATCTTCATCATCTGCTATTTCCGCTTCGTCGCCAGCATCATCCGTGGTTTCGTCGCATTCTCGCTGCCGCCTTTCCATGTCTCTTACTTCGTTCTCTAGCCTCCTTGTTCTCTGCCTTTCTCGATCAACCATTCTTCTCAAAGCTCTGACTTCTTCAACGAGCGATGGCACAATATCCTCAAGATCTTCGAGGTTATCCACTAGATCTTGAGTCTCCGGGTGTGCTTCGGGGGCCCGGAAATATGTCGCTAAAGAGAAGAGGACGGAAGATATGGCAAGGGCGGGAAAGGTGGCCGTTAGGAGGATGATAAAATTGCTGCTGTTCATTTTGTGTTCGTACAATTATTGTTTCTCGTTTGTAGAGAAGGGATATGTGGGTGGTAGGAGCGTCAGAGATGGCTTTTGAGGGGGGGAGCCTCTGATGAAGTGTCGAGTTGCGATACATGTTCGACATGCTTGACGCTTGAAGTTGTGGACCCGTCAGTCAGTCGGTCACTGGTTATGTCCATTTGCGCGCTGGTCGCAAGACATCTTCAACCTGATGGGTCTGTGAAGGAGTCAATCAATGAATGCAGCTTGTAACAATTACAGTACTTGTCACCCGAACTTGTGATGGCGGTGAGACTCACACAATACATGATACAAGCTGTGTCTCTCCTTCACACGATGTCATAAAAATGACACCATGATCAAGCCTTCCGTATGCCGTGGCTGTTCGCCTTATCGACAACCACGACATCACGCACACAAATGCAAATTCGGCTTTGCGCAACTAAGCCCGTAATGTTTGATGAATGTACAGATTGGTATTATATTACTTGTGAAGTGTATGTATGTACAAAGAAACCCCGGTCATCGTTTCATTCGATGTTTAACCAGAGGCAGCAATGACCAAGGTGTACTGGGCAACCTGTGAGCAGACGAAGTCGTTAGGACCGTTGCCACCGGCGTGGCAGTAGGTGGGAACAACGCCCTGACCCCAGAAGCCGACACTATTCGCATATGTTAGTCTATCGTCCAAAGTCAGTGTCACTTGATGTACGTACGCAGTGCCAAGCTCGTGGTAGAGAGTGATGGGGTAGTCGCCGTTGATGTCCTTGGTCATGGCGAAACGGTACTTGCTGTCGCCGCAGTTGACGATAGGAGCGGGGAGAGTAGGGTAGGGTCCGCCGACGCAGGAAAGGTCGGTGGCGTTGCGGCCGTCAATCTTGAATGAGACGGACTGGAGGGTACCGTTGTTCTTGCGGATGGTGTAGTCCTTGAAGTTGACGTTCTCGTAGCTGTTGACGTCTGGTGGGCCCTGGCAGTGAGCCGGGTTAGGGCAGTCGGAAGTCTGGGGAGCGGGTGCGGCCATGGCGGCGGCACCGAAGAGAGCGGCGAGGGTGAAGAACTGCATTTTGGTTGATTTGAGAGGTTTGGTGGTGTTGATAGGTGAAGTGTTTGGAAATTGACTGCTTGGATGATGGATACAAGATGTGGTGGCTGGAGCCGTACTTATATCTCTGCGAAGATCTTCATTACCATCTCAACGTCACTTAGTCGAACGCTCGAGCAACAACCAACAATGCTCATGGATTCGGTCATACCTCCTCGTATTTCTCACCGTGGTGGGTTGCATTCGGGCAATGATGTTGCCCCCCGGACGGGCGTGCACCGGCGTGGGCACAAATCTCCGAGCCTAACGTGTGGACCCCTTGACCGCTAACAACTTCTGTGATGTAAGTGGCATTGATCGTCGAACAACAAGGCAGGTACCTCGTATACTGCAGTTGCGCATGCTGTGATGGATATTGCGGCTTGATGCATTGTCCTCGTTTTCGCATGTCGGCACGTTGCCCAGGTGAGCTCTGCATTGACTGAGACGTCTGTGATCGTGAATTCGTTCACCGCAACTGCTCATGTAAAGAGCCAGCACATCGACGTGGAATTCACCTTGGCATTAGTGATGCAGGAACCACCTGCGAGCGGTGACATTTTTGGGTCCGCGAAGCTGAGCCTCAACTTTGGTATGCAGGGTGCCGGAGCCGCACGCCACACCCGCTGACGCCACAAGCAGCGTGGCCTACGAGGCTGGCAGTTGACGTAACGTGGGCTTCGCTGTTTAATCGAGCGCCACATTACATCAGGTTCTGTTCGCAAATGCGAATCCGGTCGGCATGACCGTCGTGGTGAGTGCGCAAGCCCAGTTCCAAAAATAGTGGCTCCTGCGTTGCACCTAGCGACGGTATGCATGATGGGAAAAACACCTCAACCTCGTGTGGTGTGTTTCGTGTTAGGAGGCGTTTGTGGAGCGCATGTTTGTTGAGACTTTCGATAGTGCGACAAGTTTGCGGGCCCCTAATCTAAAAATGGCATGATGTCATTGGGCACGCTGTACAAGACTCGAAAGTTCGATGTCCATGTCTATGGACAACACACTGAACGTGGAAACATACGCGTGGAATGCTTTTTTTCTTCGTGCTGGCAACTCTCAACATAGCACATCCGTCAAGGTAACGATGAACGGTTCGTGGTCGCTCTGA